ATCTTTCATAGTAATCAAGATTGTCCTTATCCTTCTGATAAGGTCACAAGATGGTGGTGCCTGTCCCCCTAATTCTTCTCTGAGGTGGAAATTAAGTAGGCACAGTAATTCAGCTACAGATAATTGTGCTACAATTCCTGCAAACAGTTTTATTTGCCTATCTTAAGATGAGGTCTTGAAACAGAGAAAGATAAAGGAGGTCGGGGGGCTTTACCTCATACAGGACTGCTTTCACCGGATTACTGTAAGTTTTGAGCTCATGCTGAGTGAAACTTGTTGTGTGTGTAATCAGAACCAGTCTATTTTTCTTTCTGTTAAATATCATTTATTTTTCTTCTTCTTTTTCTATTGAAGTGTTCCTGAAAATACCCAAGAGTAAATCTGTGTAGTGGTGTGTCATAATATTATGAGTCAAATGGAAATTTCTAAGGCAAGCACTACTGCAAAAGTATCCTGAATTCCTCCAGTGGACCCATTTCTCCTATTAAAAAATAAAAGCAGAGACTATGATGAAGTAATCTCTGCAATAATTCATCCTTTAGTATTATTCCACTTTGCTCCTTGCCATTTCCTTAGAGGTGCACGCTGTTAGGTCCTTCAGTTTTTCATGGTACATAGCAGGAGCTTGGTGAATTGATTCGACGGGTAAGGAAAACAGTCCAAAGTGCAGAATTAGCGTGTTCACCCTCTTCAGCAAAAACATTAGGTTTCACCGAAGTCTCATACCTTACAGACTAAATAAATGCTGAGGTCATTTTAATAAACACTTTCTTTCTGTTAGACAAATCCTTCAGTATTCCTTTTAGGCAAGCTATTAACTCTTCTTTGGAAACAGTGTTTAAAGACTTTCCATCAGACATGAAATCAAGACAAATCACTGGCAGCAATGACTATTATATTACTTGGGTAAACAGTGGTGGCCTTGCAAAGTCACACACTGTCTCAGGGCGCAGCCGTTCCAAAGGTCTATCTGGCAAAGGTCAGGAAAGCTGCCAAGACTCAGAAGTTTGTCTAAAATCCCCAGGGATGCCTGTGGATCAGGTTACAGTGATCCAAATATTACTCTAATCAGTAAAATAAAAGCTTCTTTTCATTAATGGCTAATCATATGACTTCATTTGTCTCTAACTTCTTCCAGTTGCCTTGACAGATGAGAACACAATAACATAAATAAGAAACGACAGTCTATCAAAGAAGGTTAACATAAGGTCATGGCCTTTCTTATTGGACCTCTGCAGCTTATTCATGTGTAAAAAGATGATTTTGTAGCCCTAGACTCAGCATGCTTTACAAATCTGGACTTGTACTGGTAACTGAGTTTTAAAACTGTACCTTTGTTTGGAAAACACCACTTTTGCTTTCTATGATGTTCAGGTAGAATTGTTTTGTGTTAATATGAAATACAAAACGAACATATCTTACATCTCCTGGTGTATCACATAAGAAGTCAGCGTCACCTCTGCTCAACAAATAAGGAGGTACGGCATGAAGAAGTTGATTTGCCTCAGTTACTTGGCAGACCAGAGACAAAAGCACGAAACAAGCCTAGCATTTCTAGCTGCCAAGCCTTTATTAAACGAATACTGCAAATTCTACAGATAGAGGCACAAGGCACTTCACACACGCACACACACACACTTCCCCTCCCTTACTCTGACCACGTTACAGCTTTCTTGAGCAAATTCACCCCCTAACGTTAACAAGATTGCTCCCAAAAATTCTGTACTCCACTGTGGATGCAGACGCTGCGCAATCAGGCTGACAGTCACATCCTAATAAATGTTAAATATTAATTTATTGTATTATTTGTAGAGCGATTAAATTCAAATCCTTTCCCATTCAAATCAGAGGGTTTTGTCATTAGGAAACATGAAGAGCGAGAGGTAAGCATGAGTTTTATGTCAAAATTCAACTACTTGCAAAAAAACTTCTGTCAGATAAGGAAACCTAAGAAGGCCTGTCCATGAACAGGGGAGATAAAATGCTGTGGAACAACAACTTAGATAATTAGTTTTGAAAGGTTAATCAATTCAGCCCTCTGGCATTTCTATACAGATACACGTGCCTTCACCTTACTACAACTTGCTTCGTGATGTTAGCACCACGCGTTGCGGAGAAGTAAGATAGTGAAGTAAGATATTAACAACATACAATTCTAAACGATATATCCTGCTACGAGAGCCCACAACTGTTTAGAGAAGATCCTTACTGTACTGAGAAAGGTTACAGAGCCTGCAGCTGTACCGTTCGATCCCCTGCCCCTATGGCTCTCTAAGGCAACACCCAAACCATGTCAGGAAGCAAATGCTTAGCTAATGCTGATTGCCATAACTTGTTTTAAGTTTATATTGCCTATTTTTTTGCTGTCGTCTTGTCTGCATTCCTGTAGCCTCGTGCCTTGCAGACACCTTTGATGCCACTGAGCCTGAGCATTCTCAACTCTTTCGTCGTCTGCTGTGAGATTAGGCCCTCGGATCTCCTAAAACTGCTCACAAAAAGAACAGCTATTATTGACAAAGTCAGCAGTGCGTTTCATCATATAGTTGGATTCATTAATTTTTATCCACTTTCCGCTCCTCAGCATTAAAGAGCTCTGAATGACTAACAACAGTTTTAAAGAAATACACAGTTATTTCTGACAACACCTTTCCTTTTTGTCAGAAGGATACTCTATTTTGTTTCTGAAAAACGATATCAAGTTTTGCACCATAAGGACCTACCAAATAAAATTCTGCACGACTTCTATGGTGGTTTTCATAATGTTATGCCTTATTTGTATCTTGGCTTATGAAAAACTGTACAGCAATTGATCATTTCAGTCACTGGTGAAATAAAACCCAACCGTGAGATGGATAACAGAAGCAGAATAATAGCACCCAGCTATTTTACACGATACTTTAGACTAAAGGTAATATAAAGGAGATTGAAGCTATAAGGAGAGAAAGAATGCAACTACCCAGAATGACTATAAGCCTTATTCCTCCAAAACGCCCGGGTAACCTCCATGATCATATTTTATCCTCATCTGCAAAACGGCACCTCTGAGCAACACAGAAACATCGTCCAGGGGCAGCAATAAAATACCAAGTCACACGCTTACTTTTCCCACAAATAGTGGTCAAGCACTAAGTCACTTCTGCTTCAAAATCTGAGGGCTAGAAGTTGAAGGTCTCTTGTTGCAAGTCCATATAGCCATATGCTCATTGTCATTACTGACTTCATTTGAACGTTCACTTGTAATTAGCGTCGCTCCTACTATCACAGTATTTTATGACTTGAATGGCAACCAGTTTATTCCACATTTCCTTTTTTGTGTGAAGTTTTCAAGCAGTGGCTTCAAAATAGCTAACAATGTATTCTTCTGTAATTCCTGGTTAGATAATATATGGTATAAGAGTCAAATTTCGAAAGCTCTGTTTAAGTTTTTAAGGAATGTCAAAATAATAGAATTTAAAGTATATTTTAGGAATAGCAGAATTGTGCAGAAGAAACACTAATTTAACTAACTTACTAACACACCTATTCCAACAGAAACAGTACTGTCACATGCTAGATAATTTTGAATTAAGATGAGTAGGAACCTGGCTTTCAAAATCTGAAGTTTCTGAATAACTTTTAAGTCAATCTGAAAACAGTAAATATTCATCAATATACAGTCCTATGAACTCATTCACAGGTATATTACCAAACAGTCACCGAAAGAGGTAACAGAAGAATGAGGTGAAGTAGCAGGAATCTGTGAATCACACGCAGTATTTCTGGCTTCAGTTCTCCAGAGGCCAAAATGAAAGCACAGAAGACCATAATGAAAAACTTCAATCAAAATAAAATAACCATCCAGATCTTATTTACGTTGTCAAGCTGGATATCAAATGATAGCTTGCAGTGGAAAATAATTCTACAGTCTTCCAGCGAATAAAGAGTGCAGCTGAATAAATTATAAAGTTAGGATAAAGAATATAATCACATCTAAGAAAGGCATTGCTTTGTATCAAACCTTAAAAAAGTTTAAAGAGGTAAAGAACAATGGTATAATGCAATCCTGGCAGAAAGGAATTTATGAGATGCTATGCAACAGGAAAAGCCATAGAAGATGGCTTCTTATGAGAAGATGATAATACATTTAATAAAACTGTATCTAACACCTTTCATCTTGAGAGAATCAAAAAACTTCAACTATATACTTATTACAGTAATGAAATGCAACTGAGGGTGCAAACTAGGCGCACAGCCAGGACCCAGAAGGTCACAGAGCAGAGAACGTTTATTACAAGTGTAAGGAAGCGCATTCAAGAAGAAGGAACCACTTTGACCTGTAATACACTATACCTTGGCTACATTTTTACACCTGATCTCATCTACACTTTGCATCTGATGATGCAAAAATGTAGTGAATAGGCTTATTTACACCTGCTCTATGTTTATCAGAGTGTCATTTAGAAATCTAATCATAATTCACTTAATTGTTCTAACATAAGCTTATGCAATGCTTTAGTTTTCACACAAAGTCAGACTTGCACCTGAGATTGTGTACAAGAACAAATATCACCCCATAACGGGACTTAGATCTCCCCTAGGAAGAAGGCAAATGGGTTTACAGAGCATGTGATTTTAAATCCCTTTTTATTCGCTTAATCTCCAGCTGTGGAATTGTGACTGAAATGCAAAAATGTATGCGCATTTTCTGATAAGAACAGTTTTGTTTTAGAGACAGATGAAATATTTGCAAATATAAATACTTTCTTCAGGCTTTTAAACAGATGACGGAAGTTTCATAATCAGAACATGGCACAACCAATCCAGGTTAAGTGATACAATTTTTCAATAAAAACCCTTTGAAGTGTTCTTAGAGTTACATCTTCATAATCCAGACATAAGAAGATCTATACTCTTGACAACTCTGAGTATATGCTCTTCAGCTGGCTCTAAATAAAAGGTAACATTTCCCTTTCCTTTCCATGATTTCCTCATAGTGGTGAGACATAGCAAAGAATTTTTACCTCCACATGATTTTCCATCTTCCTCCAGTTTCTGGCCAGTCGGGCATTTGCAGTAATAGCTGCCAATAGTATTACAGCACTGGTCGTGACAGCCACCGTTCTCAGTGGTACACTCATTCACGTCTGGTAGGAGAAAGTATTAAGCAGTCAATAAGGAGCAAGCATTGATCAGATTATCTGTTTATTTAATAACAACTATGTACAGTTCTGATCTTACAGACTGAGAAAGCTACTGATAAATACAATTAAGGATCTATTCAGGCAGCGACTGCAGAACTGACTCCCGTCTATGTTACTGTTCCCCAGAACTCAACCAAGAGACACGACTGCGCAATTTTTCCTCTTCCACTTCTCTGCAAAACAAGCTGCATTAGTGCACCCTCCCTTTCAGAGCAGGCTATACTAAACACGCTAACTTTGCACTAAAGCAGGTCAGGAACAACTATTACACTGTCAATTCTAGCAGCTCAATTGCCAATTGTGTTGCTTCTAGCAATCATGACAGAGATGAAAAACACCCGGACAATGGTAGCATCTTAAATCAATGAAGGTCCTTTCTTTCCGTAGGATGTGTGTGTGCTAATATCCACATGACTTATATACTCCTCTGTTTGAATCTGTGCTTTCCTGCATGGTTTTGGATAGGAAAAATAGATATTTACACATTATAAATGAAGAACATTACAGAACTATATAAATAAATATATAGATAAATAACTAGCCAATGGCTGAGAAAAATCCAGTGAAGACCAGCTTTTTTAATCCATGTACTTATATATTCTGCATGAGAACTTCTGAAGTCGACAGAACTCTGCAGGTCAGTACTGTTCTGTTGAATGGGATCACAGACAACAGACGGTACCAGAGTATTTCCAAACTAAAAAATCAGTCAAATGGGATAGCAAACTTAACAAAAACAGCAGGCATTTGCTGTATTGATTTCATGTATTTCAGAAATCTTGTGTAACACCTTCCAGCTTGTATTGCTCTCTCTGAAGTGTTAATATTGTCACGGAGATGCAAAATTCATTCAGTTCAGGGTAAGGAGTTACAACAATGAATCTGCATAAGAATAATGGGTTGCGGGGATCTTTCTTGATTTGTTGATAAAAGCCTTGAACTAGCTTGTTGGCGCAGTAGTGCTACTCAGCATGAGGTTCAGCGGAAAGCCAGGGCCAAGGGGACATAATGCATGCTCCAAAGCTGGCAGGAGGATGCAGGTGACAGCTCTCACATCTGCAACGCCTTTGGCACTGGTACAGATCACACAGTACATTCAGGTTAGAGAAGCAGGAGAAGGAAAGCAATATAGAAGCAGGAGAAGGTAAGCAGTGAAAGACAAATAAAAGAATAACTAGAATCACAGTCAATAGCTTCGTCTAAGAAGCGTTCTGCGTTTCCAGCGGGGAAGCACGGCTTTTTGTAAAGTGTCTAATTAGACACTGGTCAAAAGAAAACAAAAAGCACTGTATAGAAGAATTTCACATATATACAAGAAAGATGAGAATCCTTCAGCTGCAATCCTTAGCCTTCAAAGTCTAAGATTTACCTAGGTTTGTCAGCTCACTGATGAGCTTGAGCTCAGTTTCACTAGCTTATTAATGATTCTGGCTACAAAACAAAGAGCTTAAAGAAACTGGGGCGGTGGGGAGGGGTGTTCAAGACTATTAAAAGGCTAAAAGGAAAATGTATGAAACGTCAACATTTGCCAAAGTGAAGCTGAAGCAGTGCAAACTCACTAAAATCAATTCATTTCTCTGCAGCTCTAAATTCAGTGTAATGACCCACACCATAAAACTTTCTTTGCCCTCATTATTATTGAAAAAACATGGGTAAGTTATAAAGAAAAAATCAATTATCTCACAGCTATAGGCTAAACCATATCCTAACTCTCATGAAGTCAGCAAGATTCTTCTCTTGATTTCATGGGAACACAGTTTGGACAGATAACTTTTTTTGCAGAAAATGCACTCACGCACACCCCAGAACACCAGAAGAACCATAGCAAAGACAGACTTTTCGGAAGAGACTGAGGGAGCACATGCCCAGGGACAGATTTGAGCCACTTTCCTCAAGGTACGAGAAGGCAGCACGGCACTGTTGGGTATCACACGGAAGTTCGACAAAACAGGCATGTTCCAAATGATTTATTTCCTCTGACTAGCAGACGCCCTGATATGCCTTGAGGTAATGAGCAGCAACGAGCTACGTAATAACCTTGCTCCACAGCTTCAACTTCTATACTCTTATAGTATTGAAAATTACTTTATTCTTTCTAGACTATGTTTAACATATACTATACTACTTGACCTCCTAGCATAACATATTGACTGCATGATGTGATCTGCGATACTCAGACCAATTTATTAACACCCGTCTCTGTACTTTGAACCAAAAGATTAAAAGAAAGTGTTTCTAGCTGAGAAGCTAATCATTATGCTCTTGATTTCACTAGCGTAAAATATATTTGGAATTCTGCAGTGCTATTGCATATCAATGTATAGAATATTTTTGCTTTTGATTGCAGTGTGTTTATATTAGCAATCAGAAATCTGTTTATTTCCTGTTCCGCATAAAAAGCTGTGGTCCCCACATGTGGCATGCCACGATAAACGTATCTGTGCTACGTGACCTATAGCCACTTTTCCCATCTCTCTCTCTTACTTCTTACGCTGCGTCCAGGATTTCCTCATCTCTGCCTTAACGCACGCTTTCATGCCGTGCTTGTTGCTTCCCCTTACACCAGAAATCCACTGCTTATTCTACTATATGCAGAAAACTTGACTTTTCGTTCACACGCCTCATTAAAACAAATATTTCATTTAAAACTGATCATCAGGACTCAGCAACTAAATGATAACTAGCTTCACGTAAGAAAACAAAATAAGCTTTTTGATATAGCCTTATCCCTATCACACAGCATTTGAAGACATACACTCATGAGGTATAAACTGTAATAGTTCTAACTTGAGGGTCAGGAAAATTTACTCCCTAAGCACCTGCCTCCTTAATTGTACTATGAGTCCCTGTAGAAAGGTTTCTCCATTGTCTGCACCATGCCCGTTTGTTTTCTAAATTCAGTAATAAAGGTCAGAAGTTACCTCAGTCAAAGGAGCACAAAAATAAATGATCTGAATATGAACCAAAAATGAGTGTGTTTGACATTTGTAAAAACACAATCCATATAGCACTTATAACCTGCAAGCACCTGTTCTATATTCTTAAAGCACACAAAGTATTGAGAATTTTAAAATCTGATTACAGATTTGACACTGTAATTAAAAAAAAAACACACAAACCAAGAAAAACAATTCTGCTAAATGACAAATTTCAGCTTGCTTTCCATATTCATTGTCATTCAAGGTTGCAAATAAATTTGTCTCTTGGATAGCAAGAAAAATGACAGAAAATTTCTGACATGTTACAAGTCTGCCAGCTTAGGCCTGACAAAAGTTCAATGTTATCAAGACCATCAATCCATCTGTAATGACATACTGTAGGCGCTTCAAAAATAAATGTGATTTTTGCTACTGCAGTATTTCACATTTATTTATAGAACCAATGTTGCAGCACAGAAACATTATCCATAGGACATGCTCCACGAGAGCTTTCAATCCTGCCATACCAAGTCTTAAAAAAGACTCTTTCAGTAGACGAAAAACCCTTCTTCATCAATGATAGTTTCCAGATTAACGTTATACATGATCTGTCTATTATACAAGTGGAAGAAAACAGTATATTTAAAATCCACTAGTACTCAAAAGCGTGGATTGTAGACACGTGCCTACATGTCCTACTTTCCCTACACGCATGGTCTTACAGGGCAGCACCACACACAACAAAGGTATTCATTTATCTAAAAATCTCATCAAATGCTTTATACCTTCAGAGAAGGAGAAGATGTCTCATTTCATTATATGAAACACCTTTGCTCAATTAAATATGCCCAGGAGCTATACGATAAATAGAGAAGGACTGATTCCATTCCCCTTTCTTCTGCATTCTTGTTTAATGCTACTCACACCTTGTTTGAAAATATCACGTAGCAGAGCAAGTTAGTGAACACCCCAGGCTTCAGTAAAAAAGAATGTTTCATTGAGATTTTATGTAAAACTAAGTGATTTCAGATTTCCTGCAAGTGAAAATTTTTTATAAAAGCAGACACTGGACAAAATGTCTTTCACTGATGATTCCAATTTTAAATCTAACAGAAGTGACCTGCATTATTACTAACTCTCAAATCTAGCAAGCAGATTAGGACAAATTAAAAAAAAAGTCAGTCCTCCACTAAGAAGCAGCAATATGTTAGGCTGCAAGTCTCCTCTCCACACCTCTAAGCTCAGCAACTGGGGAGGGCTGCAGTCGTGCAGCTCCTCTGCACAGAGCTGAGTGCAGCATCCCTAAAAAGCAGCACGAGACGCAGTCTGCCCTGCAGTCTGTGTTTATATCTATGGTACATGGCAGCTACCCTACTGCCTTCAGTTTACGGTATCTTTTAAGTATGACATGTTACTAGTATAACGAGTTCATGCAATATAAAACAGTATAAATTAATATGAACATTAACATAAATTAATACAAATAGACATTCATATCTCAGATAACAAAGAGAATCTCATAACTGCAGGCCGCTGTTTAAAACATTTTTTCCAGGGTTGCTATGTTTATGAGCCACACATGAGCAATAACTTTATTTATTTATTTTTAAGCCAGCCACATGGCGAAACCTGCCATCTCAGTGACCACCCCTTTGGGGCTAACCTGTGCTCTGAACCATAAGAAGCTGACTTCAGTGCATGTCATAGCTTATGGGATTTGCAATAAATCACTAAAGTGGAACAAAATCTGTAAAAATCATTCACATTCTTATTGCAATACCACATGAACAAAGCTCACTACCATGGAAATGGAAGGTTATCCTGATTAGCTTAAAAGTATTAGTCTAGCACACAGTACTAGCGTCATTTTAATGGCAATTTAGATATGTAAATTCCTAACTCTGCAAACATAACTCAAATGCTTTCAGCTGCAAAACCCTATACTCATGATGCTTTGAATCAGACTCTAAGTATGATTTGCAATGGGCAACTTATATCTACCTATATGTCTACCTCAAACAATAT